AAATAACATAAATGAATAATAATCTGCTGGTCAGTAAAAATCAAACGTGTTTTTGTGGTTTTTGCAAACTTTTTTTCCGAAACTAACAATTTCTATTGAGCAGAGGGTTATCCAATTTTGGGTTCGGTTCTATTTGAGCCACAATTACGGTAGCATGTAGTAAAGCTAGGTTGATGAAATTTTTACGGTAAATAGCTGATACCGTAAGGAAGTTTTTAAGATACTTACGAATAGTAAGAACATGTTTTTTCAATTTTTTATAAACGTTCAAAGTTGTTGCACTTTTTTACTTTTTTGTTATGTTCGAAGATTTTGAAAAAAATTAAAAAGTAGTATTAGTTACATGACTTGAATGATTATATGATAGTTAAGCCTTAGGTCTTAGCTACATAATCGTGAAAAAAGCAGGCATTTATCACAATTATTAACGAAGTTATGGTAAAAATAAACACAGAACTCAAAAATTCTCGAAAAATCCGAAAAAAAATCATAACTCCTAAACTAAACAAAATCGGACCATATATATGGGGGTGATTTGGGTTCCTCTCGATGTGGGGAATCTAATTTTTTTTTATGACGTCACGTGTTTGGCCACCCTGTATATAAAAAAAGAAATGGAAAACATTAGATAGAAACGAAATGAATGAGTTGAATCAAGCTACAGTCGATGCAAGCATGTCAAAGTTATTTAAGATGAACTTCTTAATTCTTTTTTGAAACTATTCTTCCAGAGGATTTTATATTCTAGGGGTAATTTATTATACAACCTAATACCATCAAACTTTATGCATTTTTGGCAAACAGATTTATTCACTCCCGTATAAGTGTAACATTTTTTCTGAAGTGAACAAATTTCAGAGCAGCAAAAATATATAAACCTCTAACATTCAAAAGATCATTTTCAATCTAAACAAATCTGCAACTTGACCTAGATGGGATACGAAAAATAGTCCTGACAATATAATTTTGCGTGGTTTGTAGTATTTTCAAAGTACTAGTGTATGCGGCTCCCCACACAAACGAGTTATATATTGAGAGAAGACTCTTTCTGCTTAAAATATTCCTAAGATGAAAAACTTATTAATAATTCTCCTTAATTTCGATGCCAAAAGCTCGGCATGGCTCTGCCATTTTAAATTACTGTCAACAGTGATTCCTAAGTATCTAATAACTGCAACCCTTTCAACAGTGTCAGCACTATCATTTATAATTAATGTTCGGTGGTGTAATGGCATGCCTGCTTTGGTTGGAGAAAACGTTACATACTTAGTTTTAGAGATATTAAGTTTAAGTAAATTGTTATCCAACCAGCATTTGACTTTATTTAATGACAACTCGGCATTCCGTATTGCTTCATCCCATGAATGACCAGTGCAAACTAAAATAGTATCGTCTACATATGATATCATTTTATAGTTGAAATTGCATCAAAGTAGTTCATTTATGTCTATGGGGAACAGTGTTGGTCCCAAAACCGTCCCCTGAGGCACACCTATTTTGATCTTTCGAATGCTGCTTAAATCTGACCCTACCTTAACTTGTTGTAATCGATCAGCCAAATAGTTCTTCAATAACTTCAGAACTCCACTACGCACTCCAACACTTTCTAGTTTCTTCAATAAAATTGTATGAGATACTGAATCGAAAGCCTTTTGAAGATCTAGGAAAACTGCAACAGTCTTATTTCCATCTTGAAAATTTTCAAGCACTTGTCCTGTAAGTTCTTGTAGAGATTGCTCTGTATTGCAATTTTTGCGGAACCCAAATTGACAGTTCGATATTATGTCATATTTCTCAAGAAAAGAACAAAGTCTGTTATTCAAACACTTCTCAAAAATCTTCCCAAATACAGTGATAACTGCAATAGGTCTATAATCGAACATATTGTCTTTACTTTCAGATTTAAATATTGGTGTCACTATGCTTTCTTTAAATTGGCGAGGAATTACTGAGGATTTGAAACAGAGGTTGATAATGTGTGTTATAGGGTGAGATATACTTCATGATCATCTTGGTAGTTTTAGTGTGTAAGCCACCTTTTCCGGGTGCGCTATTATTTTTTAGATTACAAACTATTTGCTGTAACTCTATGTTATACACTGCAGTTAGAAACATAAAGTTAGCAATGTTGACGACATGAAGATCTGATGTACCAAGAATTGAGTTTTGATCAATCTGACTTGTTATTTGCTCACCTATATCAACAAAATATTTATAAAAAACACAGGCTGTGAATGATAGTACAAATAATAAGAGATCAGTCTTTATTTTCTGGACTTAAAAGTAATAACACACTTGGAGCTCGATCAGTATTCCGTATTACACTTCAAGGCTCCATCACTTTAAAATCAGTATTTTTCGTATTCTCTTCAATCCATTTATCGACCTTCTTGATCAACTCTGGCGACATCTCTGCCTTGAAACCGTCTGCCTTGCCCGACCTCATGTGGTTGTGCTGAGCTTCAGGCAGCCCTTTTCGCTGTCGTAGCTCTCTAATACCATCCTCATGATTAACAGCTTTGTTTTTCTTCATGTTCGCAAAACTAACGTGATCTACCAGCTGGGTTATCTGTTGGTCTGTGAACTTCTTGCCCAAGAAATTTACTATTCTTCTGATCATGCCTGGTGGGTCTTTCAGCATTTCTTCGTACCTCAGGATGAACACGTTAGGTTCCTGCCGTTTTTCCCAGAATTGGAGGACGTGTTGCCAGTAGGGATGGTAGTTTTCTGAAAAAGTATTTTTTTCACTTAAATTTTTATAAAGCTCCGGGAAGGAAAATAAGAAAGGTCAAGGATTTTCCCTAGCAGTTTAGTGGTGACCTTGAATTTGTCCTTGAATGCTAAATCAAGGTCAAGATGATTTTTTAACTAAAACAGAGTACTTTCGACTTCGGAAACGGATACGTTCAATCATGGCTTTATTTTAACATTACACGTCGTTTACAAAGTCATCATTTGAAAAGATTTCTGGGATGCCTCTGAAGATCCAAAGGCTGAAGGCTTCAATGTATGTCAGGATGTTCACTGATTACCCTTAAACTGATCTTTACTATGACCTTGTCGGTCAAATCAATGTCAAGTCAATTTTAAAATGTCTACAAAGGAGCTAGGAATACAAGTTTTCTAGATTCTATAACTTACCTTTTCCGTCCATGAAAATGTTTGCATATTCTTCTAGCGAAAAATCGTATCCATGCAGCAGTTTTTCGAAATGATACGATGACGTGATCACTCCTTTAGGGTTTCTTATCACATAAATGATCTGCAAGAGTATCGTACATCTTGTAAAAATAGTGTCGTCGATTTACTCGCTGTAATTCTGAGGCATTTACATAAAACTTTTAAAAAAATTCTCCTTACATACAAATTGAAAATTCTTGATGCACAGATGCTGCTTGAGTATCAACGAAATAGGAATGCAGTTCAAACAGTTTTCAAGCCTTTTAAAAACAGCGTTTGTTTCCTGAATTTTGTTCTGTTGAAATTCATATATTATACTTAAAAATTATATGTAAAATAACATGTTAATATTTAAAATTGAAGACAGACTGAAACTTAGCTATTGTTAATATTTCTATGTCAGAATATATACCAGAAAATACTAATTATATAATAATATTCACGCGAACATTGAAGTGCCCCCACCCCATGATACAAAATGTGTTGAATTTCAATAAGGGAACGACTTCAAATTTTGTTGATATATTTCTGTGTCTGAAACTAGAGAAGTATCGTAGCAATTATGTAAATTTGGACCCTACAAAAAAATATTATATATATACAGGGTGGCGCATCGAAAACGAAACAGACGCATTTATTGGCAGCTCAGTTTTTTTTTTTGGAAAAACGCTCAGACCCGGCAATTTTGTTTTCGAGGGGGACACAGGTTTGGCATAAAATCACGTCAATACGTGCAGCCCCCTGGGCGGGGGTAACACCAACCCTAAAATCTTAAATGGAAAGGGGGGTCGAGTGATACCTTATTTTCAAGGCCTTTCAATTTCCTTTATAGTGATGCAAAATACATGAGCTTCAGTTCAGTAGTTTTGAAGATTTATTAATGAAAGCTTAAAGTAGACTTTAATAAGTACAGCAGATTAGTTTGTACTACTTTCAGAATAAATTTGTCTAAAAGAATTTACTTAATAAGTAAATGCTTTTCTTCACTACGCCCATCGTTTGTTCATCATTTTGTTGTTGAAAATAGCTATTGGAGCGCTTTTTTGTGGAAAAAAAGTTATTTCTTGAAGAAAGATAAGGAAATATCTCATACTTATTTTGAATGTACACAGCTTGCGGTTCATTTGACCAAACTTTGTTGCTAAAATAAGTTGTAACGCTTTATTACATAAATTAACCATGGTATATTCCACTGCAGAAAGAGTTGAAATTATCGAAATATTTTTCGGAAATAATCAGTGCGCTAATAGAACAGCAGAAATATTTAATAAGCGATATGGGAACAGTAACGTGCATCGAAAGTATGTTCTAGAACTTCTAGCTAAATTTCGGGAAACTGGGACAGTCGCCAATAAAAAACACAACACTGAAAATCCCATAAGGAACGAAGCAATAGGGGTTTTAGGGCAAGTTTATGTAGATCCTACGTTAAGTACCCGAAAATTGGAGACTGTGTGTGGTGTTAGTCGACGTACTGTCCAACGGATTCTAAAGACCCATAGTTTTCATCCGTATAAAACTCACCTGGTACAAGAACTTAATGAAGACGATTTTGATCGGCGATTACAATTTTGTGAAGATATGAGTGAACGAATTATAAACGATGAACATTTTCTATTCAACACTTGCTTTTCCGACGAATGTTCCTTTTTCTTAAATGGCGTAGTAAATCGTCATAACTGCCGATATTGGTCCGATTCTAATCCCAGAATTTATCATGAGGTTCATACACAGCAGCCAAACTTTTGTCCCCGTCGAAAACAAAATCGACGGGTCTCAGCGTTTTTTAAAAAAAAAAACTGAGCTGCCAGTAAATGCGACCTTTTCGTTTTCGATGCGCCACCCTGTATATATATAACTTTTCTGAAACATCTGAGTGAAGTATGCTTTGAACGTCGTATGTTGCATAGGTGAAGAGTAACTCTCTCTTTCACTATGAGCGTTCTTTGGGAAATATTTATGTTTTATCCTTATACGGTATCATCAGTGGCGTAAAACCCCTTTGGTCATGGTAACGATACATTTAAGAACATTTTTCTATAAGAACCTCTCTGGCATTTTAGGGCATACTCTTAGCTCTGGAAATATTGCCTTTTTTCAAACACCCTGTATAAGATTCAAACGTTCTCCCAAGATCAATCTGTCTTTTTCAACTCTTCGTACATCAGTCTACATTTTGGACGTGAGCCAAGAAGTGACCATACTAGTCGGTTCCCGATGTTAAGAGCCCGAAAAACTCAACGATTATTGGCAGAGAAGTGACCTGTCACTTAACAGCAAAGACTGATTCTCAATCACATCCACAAAAAACGAGATCTACAACGATAATGCCAATAATAATTATGTGAGCAATATTCTGGACCTGGGTGTTATACTGGATCCGAAATGATGCTTTAATAACCATATAAATGGAACCGTAAATAAAATGAATAAGATGCTTGACGTTACCAGAAGACTGTATACTTCAACAATCCTGCTACCCTGTTATCACTATATTATGCGTTTATACAAAGTTTTTCACGTCTATTATCTGCAATCCACACTACGAAGACCACACAAGAATACAATTTCTTGCGAATTCTGGCTTATCAGGCAAGTTAACAATCAAATCGACTTCTTTTACCTTTTATCGAAAATCAATATAAATGTAACGATACGAGAGAATTCCGTTTTGCAGACCTTATATTGGTATTACCACTGGTACGAATGCAAGGTAATCTAAGCAACCGTGATAAATTTGCTGAAATTTTTGCGTGTGAATTGTTAAAGCTTGAATACTTGATAAAAAAAACAGAAACTGTGTGTTGCATTATGATAATGCTCCTCGTCATACAGCAATGTCAGTAAACGAATTTTGGGCCAGTACAATGATTCATGTGGTTCATAAGCCTCCTTACTCGCCCGACTAGAGCCCTTGTGACTTTTTTCTCTTCCTGAAGTTGGAAAGTCACCTCAAGGGAACAGTCGAAAACATTGGCTGTAACCGACCAGCTGAAGGCTAGTCCGGTATCGGAGCTCGATCACTGTTATGACAAGTGGAAGAACCTACTCCAGCGATGAGTGGCTTCAGAAGGAAAACATTTTGAGGATTAATATACACTTGTAATAATAGATGAATAAAAATTAAAAAAAAATAATTCGCATCACTTAATTTACAGACCTCGTAGTATGCTTAACGATGCTGTAGATTATCTCTGTTTGACGACCCGAATTTGTTAAATAAATATATAAAATGAGAAACTGACACCTAACGAGTTCCTCACCTTTGGCCTCTTTTCAAAGTCCCTCATTTGCTTGGGCAGCAGGACCCACGGCATGTGACATTTTACAGTTGCTGGTCCTTTATCGTATTTTTGTACAACGTACTGAATGGTGTCCCTGAATCGTAGATCCTCATGGTTTGGATTATCTAATAGTCGGAACAACCTTAAAAGTGAAAATCTTGTATTTTCAAAAAGCTAAACGCGAACGTTGAAATTCGTGGTGACGTGGCATTGTGATAGCCGAGTCGATATAGGAAATCTAGAATTTATCTACTTTAAGGCTCCTCAGTACCGAGAGCGACCAAAGTTCTATAGTGAGATGTTGGTTTCTGAGTCAGTCAAGGAGCTTGTCTTTAGTACTCTGCCTTCTGCTTCCTTCAGTGAGCAAAACACGAATTTGTTACAGTATTTGGCCTAACAAAACGATATTATATATCAATTTCAACTTTTAAAAGTGATAGATGTATGTATTTGAAACAATGAAAATGCTATCGACCATGATGTGACGTCATATAAATTGTAAAGAAGAAAATGTCATCCGTACGTCATTCGGTGACTGATGTCAAGTTGCGTATGTGTTAAAAAATACTAATCAACGTAAGTTATCGTTTTTTCGTTTTATTGAAAAAATAACCATGGACGTTGGATTTGTAAGAGCAGAAAGCACAAATTTTCCGAAAATTGACACATTGATGGTTTGTATTTCTTTGTTGCTTTAACCCAGATTTCTGAGACACCTCAGGGCTTTTATGTAAGTACAGTGAGGTTGCCAAGTAGCACAAAACAGCTGTCTATGGTTGTTGGATTGATTTCTATTCAATTGAAATTTTCCGCTTTATTACGGCTTACCGCTTGCCACGTCACTGACCCATCTCTCTGACTTGGTGACTTACTCTGTGAAGGGTACCCTGATGGTTAGGTCCTCTTTGGCTCCCTCGAAGTCCAGATCATGCACTATCATCCACACCAGCTCAGAAGCCCACCTTGTTCCTGCATGATAGATACAAATTAAGGATCTAAGAAGCTCAGTAGCTTGAGTTTCATCTTCCACCAGAAGGTAAAGCTTTAATCTTTCCCTGAAGAGGCTGACACCGCGAAACATGTGTCGGGTTTTAAAATAAATCCGATATGGCAAGTGGTAAAACTCAACCAATCAACGAATTCAGACTAGATTGAAGGTTGAAGGAGCAAGCTTGTTTGTCTCTAGAATCTTAGTCTACAGTCAACATGAAAGTTCTTACTACAAGTGGACTTGACATAACTTTTTGACAGTTCTGTCATTAAATTCACATTTATAGTGTTATTTTTGACAGTGCGAGTATTTGCAGATAAACGTCGTGTTAGACTATTAGTAGACATGGTAGTCAGATGAGTCAAAAGCATGGACTAAATTTCGCAATTTGAACCATAGGCCTCGCTTCTTCAAATCCACTCGAATTCGTTGATTCCACTTGAAAGCCGTGCCAACCACATACGCTTACGTCTCGACCACCGTCTTCAGGTGTCACCTCGCAAAATGTTATCGCAGGTTATGGAAGTTTTTGCACCACGAAGTAAAAATGTGTCTCTGAAATTTCCACACGAGGCTGCTACTATGTCAGGAACTTTGTAGTTTTGAATCGTTCATAGGCGGCGGATAAAAAAACCAAAAACAAAAAAAAAATAAAAATCGCCCATACTTGGTTGCCAGATAGACAGTAGCTTTTTGGTAGGGCTAGAAGGAACGGACTCGTAGTATGGGCCTGCCTGAGTGACTCATACAGCATAGTTTTTCTCTTGATGATGTTCGTAACTGACATTTATCTCAGAGGATTTAAATTCCCCTGCATTTAATCGCCGCACTTATTCTTGTATGAAATGCACACTTGACGCCGTCTTTTCCGCCATTTTCAATATTCTTAGAATATTAAATCTTAAAAGTAATTCCGAGGAAGGTTGAGGGCTACCCTTCCTTGAAAGCTTGAGGTCATGTTTAAAAATAAATAATTTTATTTTAAACGAAAATGAGTTGTGTTTTATTACCTCTTAGGGAATCACTGCGATATTACTTGATAACATGTCTGTGATGATGGAGTCAATGCTACCAGGTGACAGAAAATTAAAGGACGAAAACCTCTATACAGCGTGTTTCCCAAAAACGTGCGAATATTTCTACGACGATAAGTATCACGTAAAGTTCATATAAACATGGATCCTGATATTTTCTTTCACCAATATATAGGGTATGGAGGTTATAATTTTGAAGTCGGAAAAATCTATATCTACGGAATGGATCAAGATATTGACTTAAGGCTATAATAGTACTGGCATCATAGCCGGTGTATACGAAACCTTTTGTGTCTTATAGCAATAGTTAGTTATTAACCTAGAAATATTGCAACATTCCTTGAGATGCACTGTATATGGAAAATTAGGATAAATCAAAATGCACAAGACATGTAATGGCTAATTGCTTGCAGTTTTCCTGGAAATAGCGGTGGAATATGTAGTAAAACAGTTTTCCTTGTTATTCAACATGAGCTTTTTACAAACAAAATGTTTCGTTCGAAAGTGCGACTAGATTTATTGGGACCGAGCTGGCATCACTGAATACATTATTAAGGAACACAACAAAGCTGTTAAATATGGTATTTTCCAGTTCTGCATTGTGAGCAAGATTCTCTAAATTAGAAAGCACCCTCAATTTCTGCTTGATAAAGACAATCGCTTATTTTTACAGTAAATATAGATCAATATTTAGCAGATATTTGCACTAGCTGTTTTATTAGTTCCTTGACTCAAATCTTTTACATTGAAAGATTACTTTGAAAAATAAGAGCTCAAAACAGCGTTTCACCATATTTGAACAGCATTCTGAGAAACACCGAAAGTAACTAGCTATTACTCATAACAATTTATTTAGACAAACATGAAGCAATTACTTGATACAGAAATAGCTTTCTAAAGTTTGGTCTTCATTTGTTTCTCCGTTACGCAACCTACCTGACTTGGGGATCCCAGTGACCCATACATCTTCATCTCTGACGGGCATGTTGTCCATTTTGTCCTGATACTTAACGAATTGCTTCATGAGGGTAACTCCCCGATGCGTCACGTACTCTGCTTCTCTCGACATCTCGTTACCGCTGCAGTAATCTCCGTCTGTGTTAGATATTTCACCTTCGATAGTGTAGCTACTATCTTATATAACACTTGCACTGTGTACACTTCAGATGTGTATGTCGGAAAATGTTTGTACTATTTACAGATATTTTACTTTGTATTTATTTTATTCGCTGGTTGCGGCACCAGCAGTAAAAAAGAACTACAGGGTGAGGCAAAACAGAGTATAAAATGTAAGAAAATGATAATAAATACAACAAAGATTTGAAAAACAAAATACGTGGTGATTGCTCGACTGAACGTGTCTTGCTGTTGTGGTTTCTGTACATCTGGAACAACGGATAATGGTACCGATAGCTTTTGGGTGGTCCAGATAGCCAGAACGAAAACTTCTGAAGGAGGGGGGCTGCTTGAGTTTCGCAATCGACATTTTTCATTCGCAAAATCTGGGAGAGACTTTTTCACTATCACCTCACGCTAGATAGCGCTTTCATCAGCGAAATATAGTTCTCCTTTCATGTTCTGTTGTTACGTTTCGTACGCGCTATAAAATAACACTTAAAACCTGCTTTGGATTTAAAAAATTTCAAATCTCGACATTATCAACAACTGTACTATAAATGATAGGGATATATAGGGTCAAACTCAAAAATATGTGATAACGTACTTTACTGCTGACTTGAAAATTCAGCCTAACAGCCAAGGTAATTGGAAAAATCTACATAATCAATCTTTTCGCCATTAATATTTACATATTAATTTGAAATATCATTTTTTTTAATAATCATAGCTTTTATTTTGTACATGTTCAATTTAAATTTGTTAGATACTTGCCACCCTTATACAAGTTTTATATATGTAACTGTTAATTTACACAAATTAAGGTATCACCAGCAAAATTTTGTATTTTTTTAGTGGGCAAATCATTTTTTATATACATGCTAAAGAGAAGTGGTACCAGGATAGAACCTTGAGGGACTCTTGAAGGATTTTCCACATTTGATGAAAAAACGTTATTCTTATTAGTTATTGGGATCCCGTTGAATAGATAATCGGAAAACAATTTTAATGCTTTTCCATGTTTCCAATTTACTGAACAATATGGCCCTAAGTACTGTTTCAAATGCGCCTGATCAGTATCTATTGCTCTTCTCCTGTTTTGAGTTACTAGTAAAATGTCTGTTTCTGCAGAATATGTTGCGGCTGATGTGTCTGCAACTTTTTATATTGGAAACGTACTTTCGGGTACGTTTCACTGGAAATTATTTTTGCGAGCTTAGTCTAAGGTTCCCTTCTATTGAATTCATTATATGAACCACCGTGTAGTACAATGAAATTTTCTAACTCTCCCTAAGGTCACCATTACGACCAACAGCTATTGTTTCAAATGTTTGTCACATTTTTTATTTGAGCGACGACGAGTGCAAAGACTAACGAATAAAACAAATACATTATTCTTATTTGTCTCTCTGTGTGATAACGGGTAGTAAGGTTAACATAATTATATTGTTAATTGTATAGGGCTCCTGTTAATTTCCAGTAGCAATTACATAAAACGCATTGGCGTAGCCCGTTGGAAACTAGGGGCTTTTGAAAATGGATTGAATGAAAATACAGTATGTCGCTTTTGTTATTCATTATTGAAATGGATAATAAGGGCGGGTCAAAAAGTTCATATGACCCATGGTCCAAAAGTCAATAGATTTTTGTCTAAATGGCTTTATACTTTACAACTTTATATCGACCACAATCTTACTAATTTTTATAATCTAATCTAAAACGTTTTTAAACTGGGTAATTAACAAATAAATTGCGTGAAGTTTTTCTAAGTTAAGCCAAACTTTGTAGTCAGTAAGTAAGTTTTATTAAATCAAATATTTAAAACACACATGACAACAGCGCGTCGACCTTTCATCACCCTTATCGAACCGGCAATCGATCGCAAACGGTAACAGTGGTTAGTTATTGTTCGCGTACGTCGTCGTGTTTATTTACAATGTTCTCAAATGACGAGATCGCCGACATGTTATTAATTTACGACAGAAGCACATTTGTGCAGGTGTACCAAAGACTTCGAGATACAGGAAGCGTTCATCCCACTAATATTCACAATCGTGAAGGATAGGTTACTGTAGAGCAGGAGGAACAAATTTTAAATATAGTTGAAATCAATGCAGATATCAGCACTCGGGAATTAGGCCGCCGCGTAGGACTATCGACTAAACTTTTTGCTTCTTTTAATCCCCACTATCACCCATTTAAATAATGACTATCATAACGTTTACACCGTGTAGTTTGAAAATAATCTCAATTTGACCTCGAACTAATCTTTGGGTGACCTCGCCTGTTTTTTTTTAATTACTTCAGCTACCACGAAGGCCCAAGGCCTAAACACCCATGGGGTACCGTGGGGTTATAGGGGGATACACGGGAAAGAGAAATCCAAACTCCAGATTTGTATTCAGAGACCCAGGAAACCTGTGTGTAGAGGTTTTGAAATACATCTGAACACTTTTACAAACCTTGACCCTGAAATAACATGTGGATGACCTTGCGAGGAAAAACAAATGCCGCCCGATTTGGATTCAGTGTTCCAAGGTTTCACAACACAAATTCCACCAAAGAAGGTGGAGACAAAGTATCTGAGCCCTCGCCAGTTTCTGCTGCCACAGCCGCTTTTGACCGAAACCTGACCTCCACAACACCGTAGACTGAGTTATCCAGAGAAGACAGGACGTCAATGCTGCAAGAGACAAGATGCGTGGTCAGAAGGAGATCCAACAGTCTACTGGGAGTGACGGGAAGGTGGGGAAAGAGTGGGGCTCGTCACCATCTGGGTCAGTCTATACGTATTACCATAGTGACCACTTCAACCTCACGACCTGTTGCATCGGTCTTGTTTGAGCCAATTATGGGCATTGAAATCATCAAGGAGAACTATCTCTGAAGCAGAACGATTGATGTTCAGAAAGACGATCTTGACATCGAGATATTCAATTATGTCAGCCCAGTTAACGGTGAGACGGAGAGCGATAAAGGTAGCAAATGAATTTGTGGGGTGGTTTGGAGCTCAGGCGAATCCACAGAATGTCTTTTCGCTCTGACTCCAAAGACACGAAAAGACTTCTGCGGACAAAAGTCCTAACTCCCCGTTCTTCCCCAGATTGGGTGCATGTCGTAATTTGGACAGGTGAGGTGGTTAGGAGATTATTTTCTTCGCCAAGAACAGCATGACGGGACGATTAGGCTGCAGTGGTGAACAGCATCAATGTAGGTGCCGCAGATGTTCGTGAAGGAGACGCTGCTCTCTCGGGTCCACCCTCCACTCGGACACTTCGAGAATAGAGTGTGAGTCTACGTCTTAAATTCTTAGTACTAGAAAGACCCATCATTAGTTTCACTATTGTACATAGAAAGGGAAGACGATAGACTGCGTAGCTCAGGTGTAGTAACATGCTGAAATTCTGTAAAAAGCTAGCGGGTAGTATCACCTCGGTCGGCTTGTCCCTTTCTACCATTTTTTTTTGCTTCTCAATGATGCTAAGTAGACCTAAAGTGGCACGTTGATGGACTTGCACTGCTACCAGGCAATCGATACTGGGGCATCACTTAACGCCTGTATAATCACTTGAGCGGAAAGAAGTTGAATACTGAGTGCAACAACCTCCGGAACAAGCATTTGCCACGACTCCGCTCAGCACAGGTAAGAATTATTGATGAAACATTAAGGAACACATACGCGTACCTTGCTCATGAGACTCATGGTTTGGATGCGATGGGAAACATTCTCTTTGCGCGGGTCTCCTCTACCTGGAGGGTTGATAAATTCTTTTATAGATCCTCTGTGTGAGAGTAAGAGAGATAGAGCGTAACGCGCGATCTGCGCATGGGTGCAGTTTCGGACTCACTATTCGTTGATTCAAGGTAGTGCATTCTCGCCTTGTTCCTTGCGAATGCACTTGGTCGTGTAGGATCTTAAGACGGTGTTCGGATTGAAGAACTAGATTGCTCTAAGTTAACAGGAAGAACCTTACGCAACAGTGAAGCTTTAAATAAAATGATTAGATTACGAAATGATTCGTAAGACATTTCAATAACACACGTCCACAAAAAACTAAATGATGAATCGAACTGAAAAATGAAAAATAAATAATAGCTTAAAGAAAGTAAAAAACACCCTGTTTAACCCTGTATTGAATTATTCTGTTCATAACATAAATTTTCTTATAATTTTATTTTGAGGACATTAGTTACGATTGATTGTTTGACCATCGACTACTGTAATATAAGCTCTTTGTAATTAAAAATATTTTTTTTCACAATAAAGTCGGATAAACGCCGTTAGAGGCGGTTTTAGATAGCGCGTCTGGTGATTTTCAGCAGGAGCAACTTTTTAGCGAATTACTGAGCGCACGTCACAATCAACGGACTTCTGATTGACATGACGACAAGCAAAGCAGAACAACCGCACAAACTTTTCCGACTTACACGTGAAACTCAACGGAGGCGTAATGCGGGTGTTGCCTAGAGTGTCTGAGGTTGAACAGACATCACGTGACAGGATGCGTGGGCTCGATAGGCAATAAGCTTTTCAACAATGACCCTCGTATTTTTCCAATATCCTCGCTTTCTTTTTATTAACATGCAATTGTTTAGCTTTGTGGAGATAAGGTTTCAAAGCTCGTTATCTAAATATCTGTCTTTCATGTAGGCTACTGGAATATTAGTTCTATTAGCGAAGCTGTCGCAAGCAGTGAGCAAGCAAGTTTTGTGATATAAAACTAACAAGCTAGCTTAAGCTCGTGTAAGGGAGCGCTGTTGAGTATATTCCCGGAAAAATGGCAGAATCCTCTGAATGTGTAACTAAGAAAGGGCATGTACTTCACAAGGGATATATAGACCATTTAGATGAGCTCTATAATTTTCCAGTAAGAGACCAAGATGTTTGGATATGCGGTTTTCCAAAATCAGGTACGTCGATTGTACTTCAATTCAACTTATAGAATCTGATTTATCCAATAGACACCAACTGGTCATCGACGGCAGCAGTGCGGTTGAGAATTCCGCAAGGATCCATGCTAGGCCCCATCTTGTTGATAATGTATATGAACGATTTCTTACTGAATGTGAGGGATTCTAATAAGACCGTACAATGTGCTGATGATACCACCAATTCAGAATTA